GACAGGGTTAGAGCAGTGTGACTGACAGGGTTAGAGCCATGTGACTGACAGGGTTAGAGCCTGTCACTGACAGGGTTAGAGCAGTGTGACTGACACGGTTAGAGCAGTGTGACTGACAGAGTTAGAGCCGTGTGACTGACAGAGTTAGAGCCGTGATCCTCAGGGCTTATCCAACCTTCACTGCTGTTCCTCAGCTGACTCTGCCCCCATACCAGAGTTAGTGCTTTCAGTTGAATTAATTTTCAGATGAAAAATCTTAATAATTTAAGAAAAAAGGACTGAATCATTGCAAACAATGAGAAATCAGGAAAAAGGACTGGCAAAGAATCACTGGCTTCTGCTGACGGAGCAAGTGCCATTCAGTCTGTGGATTCCCAAGTCCGGGTAAGGAAGAGACAGCCACTGGCCTCCATCTTCATTTGCTTCTCTGTCACTAACAGAATTCCTTCGTTAACAGGAGATCACAGTATGCCAGGCTTAAAAAACAAACCAACAAACGACATTTCCCAGTCTCTGCCGCAGACTGGGGTAGCCAGGTGACGTACTGCTGATACTGACATACATGCAGAGGAAAGCCTATCAAAGAAGACAGACTTGACTGGCTGTCCCTTTCGCTCCTCTGCTTTCGCCCTTGCCCTTCCTCTCTTTCCTGCCTAGAATACAGATGTCCTGAAGGGCGCCCCAGCAGCCATTTTGTGAGCATGAGAGTAAGGCTCACGTCCCAGAATGGTCAAGCAAACTGAGAGGAGCAGTCTGGGTCACTGTCAATAGCGGAGCTGTAGCACCAGCTCTGGGCTGCCTTAGCTCTGGGCTTCTGCTTACGGAGAGAAAAGAATAAGGCTTCTGTTATCTGGATTTTCCATCATATGCAGTCAAACTTAAACCTTAGCTAATAAACCAAAAACCAAACCTGGGGCCATCAAGTCGATTCCGACTCATAGCGACCCTACAGGACAGAGTAGAACTGCCTCATGTGGTTTCTAAGCAGTGGTTGGTGGATTCGAACTGCCGACCTTTTGGTTGGCAGCTGTAGCTCTTAACCACTGCGCCACCAGGGTTTCCCCTTAACTAATACTGGGGGATAACTCTAGATAAAGCCAGTGGATTCTAGACCAGGATAAGGAATCCAATAGAGCAGGGGTTGGCAAACAGTGAGGGCCATATCCACAGAGGGGTCACGTCCAGCCACATCCATTTTGTGGATTATCTATGCTGCTTTTGTGCTACAACAGCAGAACTGAGTACTTGTAAGAGAGACCGTCTAGCCTGCAAAGCTGAAAATATTTCCTATCTGGCCCTTTACAGAAAACATTTGCTGACCTCTGCTATAAAGGGTCCACGTACAACCGTAGCAGTACAAAGAGGTAGGAATATTTCCTGAAGACCCCCAGAACCAAGGCTCACCCCCATCCGCCAACAGCCAAAAACCATGTCTCACCAGCTGGGGCAGGGAATCCCGGTACTTGGTCTCTAACTGGTTCACAAAGCATCGGACGATCCAGTAACAGTCGATGCAACCCTCCACCATCTCTTCTGTGGCTTTGGCGACAGCAAGAAACACTTCATCTTCTGGCTCCTGAAAGATTAAGAATTAATCTCAGGAGGGAGGCAGAAGAAGACAGGAATACATATTTCTTCAATAAAAATGAAACTTTGTTTGCCCCCTAAATTTTGAAGAGGCTGCATTAATAAATCAAAGTGGGATCAAAAGCACACCACCTATCACTCTCAGGAAGGATGAGTAACTATGAAAATCTGCTTGAATCGGGGTTGCTTAGGAATGACTGAGAACGTGGGGGTTCTCCAACTTGTAACATTAGGGTCATCACAGTGACAACATAAATCATAAGCACGGTATTAACTCCCTGCGCCCAAAAATATTCTCGGGGCTAGACGAGAATTTCTTTTAAAAGAATGTGACAAATAGCACAAATAATAATTGGAGGTATTAGTCAATACAGTAATTTGCAACAATTAAATGACTCCAAAAGGACTAATAAAGCATTCACTTTATTTCAGAGAGTTCATACACCTTTAGAAATGTGCTCTATCTTCAAGCACCTAAAAAAGTTACACTGTCCCTAGAACCAGAATTGGAGTAATCAGAAGATTCCTCAAACCTTGTGAAGTGTCAATACTCGCAACACGGAAGTAAATCCTCAAGTAAATTTCAACAATAAATTCATCTTCAAACAACTAGAACCATATCTGAAAATCTGTTTTGTTTTCAAACATCGTATGTTATACAAAAAGCTTTACATTTCCATCTATGATTCCATAGCTGAAACATTTCAATGTTAAAAAGTATCTTTCCATTCCCTAAAAGTCTCAAGTTAAATCAAAAGTCCTAATTTAAAAATTGTATTTCGTCCTTAGACCTCCTTTCAGCTTATTACTATCATATACAATATCAAGAATAACGGAGTTAGAATCATAGAAAATTTACTTCTCTGCTCATTTATTAGTACCCTGGTGGTACACTGGTTAAAAGCTCAGCTACTAACAAAAAGGTCGGCAGTTTGAATCCACCAGCCACTCCTTGGAAACCCTATGGGGAAGTTCCACTCTGTCCTATCGGGTTGCTATGAGTTGGAATCGACTCAACAGCAATGGGTTTGGTTTTTTCAGTTTGGCTCATCTATTAAGGAGCCCTGGTGGTGCAGTGGTTCAAACCCACCAGCCACTCCATGGGAGAAAGATGTGGTAGTCACTTCCATAAAGATTACGGACTAGGAAACCCTATAGGGCAGTTCTATCCTGTCCTATAGGGTTGCTACGAGTCGGAATCGACGGCAACGGGTTTGGTTTTTTTGGTTTTGCTCATTTATTGTGTCAGGAGAGGATAGAAAAGAAGAAATGGAGGAAGGAAAATCCCCTTTCTTGGTCTCTCACTCAGAACTGGGCACTGGGTGGGGTGCCCTTGAAGGTGTCACCTCACTGATGTTCCTGGAGACACTGAGAGGTCAGGAAAGGAGCACAATGCCCCTCAGCCCTGTGCCCAGCACTGTCCCACACTCTCATTAGCAGGTAAGAAATATGAGGCTGAGCGGGGCTCAGTGACTCAGGAGACTTGGGATGGCAGAACCAAAACACACACTCTGAGAGCATGGAGGCCCAAGCCTTGCAGCGAAGGTGTCCGAGCTCGAAGCATGGACAAGCTGAGAGCCTACTCTGCCAATGGTACCAAAGCCAAGCCAGTTGCCACTGAGTTGGTTCCAACTCATGGTGACCCCATGTGTGTCAGAGTTGAACTGTGCTCCACAGGGTTTCCACTGGCTGATTTTTCGGAAGTAGATCTCCAGGCCTTTCTTCTGAGGCACCTTTGGGGAGACTCGAACCACCAACTTATCAGTTAGCAGCCAAGTGCTTAACCGTTTGTGTCGACCACGGGTATCTTGCCAATGATAAGTGCAATTAAAAGGAGACTGTTATGAGTTCCACTTATGTCCAGGGACCTTCTCTCTTCTAAGGAGTCCCTGGTGGCACAAATGTAAGTTGATGGTTCAAACCCACTCAGAGGTGCCTAGGAAGACATGCCTGGCAGTCTGCTTCCGAAGGCACAGCCACGAAAACCCTACGGAGCAGTTCTACTCTGCGTATGGGGGTGGCATGAGTCGGAACCGACCTGACAGCAACTAACAACAATACCGACTCTCCTGATAAACATAATGAAAGGGGATGACCTCATTAGCTCTAACATTTCTCATTAACTTCAGAAAGAAAGAACAGGTCAAAGACCAAACGGCCATCCTGGAAGACTGCAATCTATAATAAAAATAAAATGAATTTCAGAGACTAGAAAAGCTTGCAGGCAAATCCCTGTTTTGAACACGTCACTCTGTTTTAGCAAAAACAAATAAATCCACTGAAGTGCCTACAGTGAAGTGACAATAGCCAGAGCCTGCCCTCTTCCTCTTCCGCCTCTCCTTCCTTCAAGAACAGTCAGCAGTCCAAATAACCAGAGTAAGGGGTCTGCTGAAGATGAAGTAGAAAGCAGGCTGGGGCCTGCGGGGCTGAGGCTGAGGAGATGGTTAGCGATGGGGAGGGGTTGAGGTTGACTAGGGGTCAAGACAGAGGCGGAGTCAGAGCTGAGGAGGCGGCCAGGGACTACAAGGTCCATGTGCCCAGAGCCGAGGAGGCCCGGGGGGCCTGGAGCCCAGGGCTAAAGAGGTGGTGCTAGTTACATACGGCGGAATGAACAAAGAAGTAAATATATTAAGGGTAACAGGGGCCAGGTTTCTTACAGTCAGAGATGATGTTGTTGATTCTGACTCATAGAGACCCCATGTGACAGAGTAGAGCTGCCCTATAGGGTTTTCTAGACTGTAATTTTTATGGAAGCAGATCACCAGGTCTTTCTTCTGTAGAGCAGTTGGGTGGGTTTGAACCGCCAACCTTTGGTTAGCAGCCGAGCGCTCAACCGCTGCACCACCCAGGCTCCTTCACTGTCAGAGAAGGGAGTTACAAATACGGAAAGGGTGAGGGCTACGTTGAACCTGTGAGATTGGATTGGAACTGGAGGCATGGGTGTCAACTCAGGATTTGTAATATGTAAAGATTAGATAGGTAGATAGGTGTGTGTGAATACATTTGTGAATGTGAGTGTGTGTACCTACATGTACCTCCTAGCTCTATCTGCTGAGAAGGCCTAGAAGCAATGACACATCAGGATCAACAAGCATATCTAGTGCCCTGACCTTGGTTTCTAAATACCACAATCCATTCAGAAAAGAAATGGCTGATTCCAGGGCTGGGGCAGACAATGTACAACATGAACCTGGAGTATCTTTTTGTGCCAGAAAGTAAGGAAATGTCAAAATGGTGGGAACTTATTAAAAAGACACAGTAGTCAGCTTGAAGCAGTGCCCACCAGCCAAATCTGAGATATCTGAATACCAAAATAAATAACAGTAGTGACAAATTATAGCCCACCGAATAAAAGAGGAATCCACAAATTCCTACTGATATACACACATCAACAGGAGAGAAGGGAAAAGTCTTCCTTACAGAAGAATGTCAACTAATCAATGCAGAAGATAAAGGAAGGAGTTACAATATTTACCCGCATAGTAAAAACGGATTCAGTAAGAATCAATGGATAGATATTTAAATAGTCTCAAAGCCTCTCCCAACAAGTTACTTATTAATTACAAAGAAAAAATACTAACCTTACAGTGAAGAAACCTGACATCACCATAACCAAGTGATCAAAGTTGGCAGCGACAGTAACAAGACGTATCAAAATCATGCTCATGTGGTATTCTTGCCAAAAAATGTATAACTTGATTTTAATCATGAGGAAATATCAGGCAAAGCCAAACTGAGAAACACTCTATTGAGCAGTGCTCTTTGGAAATGTCAAGATCATGAAAGACAAAAGAAAAACTGAGAAACTAACCCAGATTGAAGGAGACTAAAAAGACTAAATGCCAAGTATGATCCTGGGCTGGATCCTGGACCAGAAAAAAGACATCAGGTGGGACAGTCAGCACAACTTCGATAAGGTCTATCGAATAGTTAATAGTACTGTTTCAAAGTTAATTTTCTGATTTTGATGATTATACTATGATTACATAAGCTGTAACATTTGGGCAATCTACTGGGTAAAGGTGGAAACCCTGGTGGCGCAGTGGTTAAGTGCTATGGCTTCTAACCAAAAAGTCGGCAATGTGAATCCACCAGCCGCTCCTTGGAAACAGTATGGGGCAGTTCTACTCTCTCCTGTAGGGTTGCTATGAGTCAGAATCAACTCGACAGCAATGGGTTTGGTTTTTTGGTTTGGCTAAGGGTATATGGGAATTCTACTATCTTTGCCCCTTTTTTCTATGTCTAAAATTATTTAAAAATGAAAAGTTAAAAAAAAACTTAAAAATCATCAATGAACGCTAAAACTGGTAGGTGAAAATTTAATAAAAACTAGGATATCACATAGTTTCAAAGTATCTCCTCACAAAGGGAGATAGTAATTACAAAGGGAAAAATAGTAACTACAATAGAAAATCACCAGCAGACACCACCTTAACCAAGTGGCCAAAGTGAGCATTACCACTAATGAACAAATCAACATCAGGGACCTTCTGATGTTATAGACAGAGAAGGACTACAAGGGACATTATTGGGACAACTGGTGAAGTCAGAATGGGGTCTGTAGATTATTATACCCACATTAATTTCTTGTTTTCGATGATTGTTCTGTAGTAACCTAAAAGAGTATTTCTGTCGATACACTGAAGTACTTGGGGGTAAAGGGCATCATGTCTGCATCTTATTCTCAAATGGCTCAGGAAAAAAAATATGTATGCATACGTACATATATACATAAGAAAAATAAAGCCAATGTGGTACAATGTTAATGAATTCTTGGTAATATTCTTGTAACTTTTCTCTTAGTTTAAAATTACCTCAGAGTAAAATGTATAAAGGATTCTGGGCAGATGGTGATGTAAGCAGACCATTGTTCTGACCCTCCCTCACAAATACGACAAATAAACAAGGAAATGGTGTTCGGCTTCCAGGGACTCTGAACTGGGGAACAGAGGAAAGCAGCAGGTAACTGCCAACAGGCAAGAATGAACA